CCTCGATATTTCTTGGTTAAAAATAAACACATCTTCATGCAGAGGGAAATTTCATCACATAGAAATTCTCTAGTTCTCGTACTAGTCTTTTGTTTTTTATTTTTGCTTTTAGCTGTATTAGAATCTCTGCAGATTAGAATGTCCGCTGAAATAAATGAATACCAAGTTTTCGGTCTCAACATATATCGAGCTCAACAGTCTTTAAATATAAAAGAATTGCATCTTACAGAAGCTTTTAGACACATCTTGCAAAATTTATCCCTCAGAAAATTGTTACTTATACGTATTCTTTATTTTCTTCAATGCCTGTTATGTCGGTGCAAGGAACAGACTAGGCAGGAAATTGAATTCGCTGCGAAACACTCGACTCGAGAAAATCCTCTATGAATTTCTGAGTGCATCTAGTAAGGATTGCGAGGTATTGTGACATATTACTGGACGGAAGAGTGAAACGCGTGGAAGTTAATCGATTGTCAAGGCAACTACTTGCTCAGCATAATATCCGAGGAAACAATATAGAGGAAAGAAAGCTCTAGAGGAAAGAATGCTCATTTTTTTCTTCATGTAGCACGAATTTGTATAAGATACAATAATTTTAACGTAACACTACAGATATATTTTACTACTATTCCCTTGTTTCAGTTTATATTTTTCTAGTTTGTTTTAATGGGATTTTATTTTAAAAATCAATCACATGTTAAAGATATTTAAAACGCGAAAAGAACTAAGAACTCAACAAAATATTGCACTTAAAACTAAAAATTTCTTTCAATTTTAACACATCATTGAAAACTAATAACAAAAGATTTTAAAGTAGAAGTTCGTACTTTTTCCTATGCCGAGAGGAATTTTCTACCCTCTAACATCGTCGAATGCACGGCACAAATTTCGTTTCAACTTCTCGCGTTGTGAAGCTGAAGGAAAGTTACTTTTGCGATGGGAAGTGCACATAGGCTCTTTATTAATTTTTATCATGCCGAAAAAATATTGTCAACTCTCATGGAAACGAGACTTGACGCAAATTTCCGTTTCAACTTGCATCGTACGTGTAATTTCATTCGGGTCACCGCGAAAGTGGAAAACAAAGGAAGATAGAAATCGGAAGAAATCTAAACCAGGGAAATTGATTGGATAACTTTAAGGAGCGGCAACCCGAGCCAACGAGGCGGAACACTTTAATGGAAGATTCCGTTTACTAGAAGACGAGAAATATCCCGCAGAGCTAACCAAATGACGATTATTTTGCCGGATTTTATTTTTCAGCGTTCACGCAGAAAAGTTCCGCTCGCGCTCGTAATCTTAATAGACAACCCCATCCCGGCCATTCCTTTCTTTCGCCGCCCCCTTAACGGCTTTGCGACGACTTTTTAAAAAGATTTACAACCCATCATAGTCAGTCAGTTTAATTCATTGGTAACTCAAACTGCCACATCCCCGTACGCGAAAGTTTCGCGAACATACAGAGCTGCTTACGTAACTTTTAATGACGAAACTAACGAGATAGAATGTTTACCAGATCCTTCATCCATATTACGATGATGATCGCAGGAAAGCCGCGGAATTTTGGCGTTTGCATTAATTAGTTTTTTGTGTCCCGAAAAGCTAACGTGCGTTACAAACTTGTATCAAATCAGATTAAATCTTTCGTCAACAAGTGAAATTTACGAAGGATATAATTTATGAACTAAATCTTTGTAATCAGATTATTTATTAAAATAATATAGAATAAAATACACTTTATTCGCTCCAATGATTACATAGAAATAACAAGATGAGATGATGAAATCTCTCTTCCTTAATTAAAAACATTTGTATTCTTTATTGCAAATAATTGACCGAATATGATTCTCTCTTAAATGAAGTGAATCGTTCAAAGTGATTATTGATTTAACGGGACAATTTGGAGCAATTAAAATACAAAGAGAGGATATTTTCAAGACCGTCGTACAGATCGCCTCCTTAATTGCAATAATTCGCGAAATTGTGGGAGATGATCGCGCCGTGCATTATATCGAGCTCATAAAAGTCATGACGAAGCGTCCGCGCGCTTCTTTGTGCGGAAACTGCCACGCTCATTACGACAAAATGGATAAGCGTCGGTTCGTTAAACGAAACTGCGATATCGTAACGAGGCAACGATTCTTATTTACTCTCGTCGAGCGAAGCATTCGATTTAATCAACGACAAAACAGCGCGACGAGAAATTTCGCCAACCAACAACGAAACATGCATTCGATGAAATGGTGCGTTCGACGATGTGTTTGTCGCTGTGTTTTTGACAAAGCATCCCGACAATTTAATCAGACGTCTCTGTGAGAACGAGCGTTTCCACCCGAAATAGCGGTTTTCTCAAGAACTAAACGAGCACGCTCGCAGCTCAATAATATCCTTTATTATCGAGATGAGAGAGAACGCTTTGGATCCAACTTCTGTATACGTGCGAGTCACGCGCTTTGAAATTTGCGATACCTGTTTGGAAGGGTATGTATCAAGTGCGTCAATATACGACAATAAAATAGATAAAAATAAAGGAATAAAAACAATTATTATTAACCTATTTCTAAATGATAATACTATCATATAATAAAAATCCTATCTAAGAAAATAATCAAACGCAATATAAGAATCTTATAAGAGAATCATTAATCTTTCATTTCTTCTTTTTCCTTTTCTCCTTTTCTCCTTTTGACATTCTTTCAAAAAGTTCCTATTCCATTAAAATTATTGGATTATTTTTCTGCGCAAAAAGGAAACCACGAATTTATTTTGTCTGTATAATGCAGCGCTATTGCCATGAAAATTGTTTCACTTCGTTTTTATCTCCCTTAATTAACAATCAGTTACGAATTCATTACGAAAAATGTTGAAATATTTTAAATATGATTAAATGATAAATTATTTTATTATTAAACAGATAAGAGAGATACACAATATATAATATCATTTAATAATTAATATATCATATAATAATTAAAAATAATATATATTATAAATTATATACTTCTACGTATCTTTTAATAAAATTAATTTATTATTTAAATTAATAATCTTAAATTAATAATTTTATAATGGTATTTATTATTTTCGATAAATAATGATAAATTCATATTATATAAAGATTTATAAAATAATAGATGCATAGATAAAAAAAGAGTTCAAATGTGTTTGATTATAACTTTAAACTTTTTTATTATTATAATATTATAAATTATATATTTACAAGAAAAATAATGTTTAATTAAAAAAGTTTTATAAAATGAATTAAATAATCATAAATTCAATAAGTGTAAGTATTAAAAATTGTTAATCTCTGTAAGGTAAATTTATCTATAAATCTGCATCTGTAAATTAGTAATTATTTCTTTTATTTCGAAATAATTAACGTTTTTCTTACATTTTTGTAGACAAAAAATCGGATAAGATGAAAAGATTGATTTTATAAAGATGTACGTTGTATGTGATATATGCGGCAATATGCGTAAAATTTAGCAAATCCGCTGGTCATCATTTGCAGTAGGAAACAAAGAAATGCTTGTGAATAATTCAGGATATCGTAATAAAATCCAACCATCACGATTCCTTGGAAGCAGTAATAATACTACCAAAATCCAACTTATCCATTCTTCAATTGGACTCACCCTTACAAGCGTGCCAGGAATAATTTGCGATGTAAGGGAGAATAACGACGCAGTTCGGAGAGCTCGCCCTTTTTAAGCATAATGGATATGAAAGTTGAGACGTTAAAGGAATGTATCAATTCACCGTCTATTCACCGTCTATTCACCGTGGAATGCATAGATCGAAAGCTCATAAATCATACGTCGATCTTTCTCTAATAAAAATTATTCACTGTACGTTGATCATTGTATTCTATTCCAAATATTATTTAATCATGTTTCTGCATTCAGATTTCCATTGGCCTCATTTTCAACATGCTGCCCATATTTTAATTTTCATAATGGATTAATGCATAACATAAATAATCATATATTGATCGGTTTTCTGTATTGGTATGTTACTCGATTATAGCAAACTGCTTATTACCTTTTGAGTTGATTAAACTCCGATTTAACTAAAATTACAGTTTACAGTTTACATAGATTTAATGATCAGATCTAAAATTAATAAAATTAATCAATAAAAGAAAAATTAATAAAATATAAAATCAATAAATAATTAGAAGAAAAATATATCTTTATTATACTATACATTGTCTAAAAAATTAATGGTTATTAAAGAAAATTTATTTTAATTCATGTCACATGCTACATATTTTATATTATTTGTAATCTCTTCAATCTCTCTATGTATATAAATTCTTAAAATTTTTATATTGTTTTTTATTGGATTTGTTCGAGGACACATGCAATAAAGAAAATCGTTCATTTTCATCATACTTTAAAAAATGTATGTTATTAAAAACTGCAATCTATTATATGCAAGATTATATGGAAGAATAGTGGCGAGAATCTTTCGCAAGAATGTCTATCGTCGATTTAAAGCTTTAGTCTAAAGCTTTCGCTGATACAGAACTTCTAAGTGCGCTTCATCTAGAAATATGAAATCGACGTGTCAGAGGCAGTCGTTCTCCAATCTCCGTTTTAGCACGCTCCTATGCTCCTATTGACATCTTCCTCGCCTATCTCGTGGTATCATTGCCATATTCGTCTATTTATTCTTAAGTCTAGTATCTTTAAAAAGATGTACTAAAACTGCGAATTTTATCGTAATCTATATTAAAATATTTAATATTTAATATGAATAAATGAATATAATAATATAATAAATGAATATTTAATATGAATAATATAAATATAATATTTAAAAAGAATGAAAAGACAAAGTATCTATTAGTTTAAATTAATTGAAGCTTTTTTTGAGTAAGACTTAAACATAAATCAGTTTAACGCCAAAAATATACATCTGTTGGATGTTATACAGCAATATTCTTTTAACAATAAATATTATTTGTTAAAGCTTTTGTAATTTTGTGATTGCAGCCTGTAAGCAATTATCCAGATCGGTACAAGGCATCTTCGGACCGTCCGATCCACTTTTAGGCGCTCACATACAAAGCATATGTGAAGCATTGGACGTCCCTCATCTCGAAGCGCGGGTCGATTTCGAGCCCACTTTTAAGGAATTCAGCATTAATCTATATCCCGCTCCAGATCATCTCAACAAAGCGTTCAAGGATCTCATGTCCTTCCTAAACTGGACCAGAGTGGCCATTATCTATGAAGAGGATTACGGTACGTGGAGATCAATACAACGTATACATTTAGGAAAAGGATGCTAGCTACGGAAATTCTCTGATTCGAGCGCACTCCAAATACATATATATTCGATGCATTAGGAATATTCAATTCAATTTTGTCTTAATTTATTAAAACCCGCGCATTTTTATATTTATTTTATATTTAATTTCTTATTTTATATTCTTATTTATATTTAATTTCTTTATATATAATTTCTTATTTTATATTAATTTCTTATTTTATTCTTATTTTATATTTAGTAACAAAAAATATACTGCTTATATATCACAGCAGATGATTTGAAATAATTCGGCCGTATTCGTAGAATTAATCTATTATATATCTCCGAGAGCGCGACAAAAATGGTTTTGCGAAACGTGATGCAACGGACCGCAAGGGCGAACATGCGGACAATACCAACAACATCAAGTGGCCGAACTAAAAGATTTTCCGACCGCGCAGAACTCGTTTCGCAACCGGCGCTTCGTGTCCAAAACGGCAATACAACGCGGAAACTACTCCATAGATATTTGCGGAAGAGGCGATATTCTTTTTTTCTCGTTAGCGCTGCCGTACCACGCGTTTATTACGCAAACGTTTGTTATCTCTTTCTTTCTCTTTTTTTCTTTTTTTTTTGTTTTCTTCCGCAGAGTCGGAATGATGCGTTCCCATGCAAATAGAACGTCGGAATCAGGCGCCGGAAGTGGACGCCGCCGCCGCCGCCGCCCGAATGTCGGCCTGTCATACGCACGCAGAAGTAACCGCGTTTACATACGATGATGTAAACTCGCGATCTCGCCCGTTCCGAAACGAGATTGCTCCCTCGTCGCGTTTTGCCGCCAACTTAACCCCCGTGGTGTCCTCTTGGCGCCCATTTCCATCCCGCGACGGTCTGGCACCATCCGCGCCGGTTCATCGAAATTCCGCAACGCACAGTTGACGTATAACATCTATGCCGCAGTTACCGGCCATTTCCATTCTTTCCGAATCGCATTAGTATATTTTAACTATCGCCATTCTGAGAAAATGCATGAATTTGGCCACGCTACTCCCATCCATATCGGTTATAAAGACGTATTTCCATTGATTTCCATTGTCTACTTGAGTAGAAAAATTCAATGGTCGTATATCGTCGTCTGATTTGTCTATTTCAGTAGAAAAATTCAATGGTCATATATCGTCGTAATAAATCTAGGAAATGGAAATTTATTGATTTGATATTCGGGAAAATACGAGAAAGCTTTGTGATGCTTTTAAAAACAAAAGGACTCTTGCCTTTCAAAGAAATTTAATTTTATCATTCATATCGAGTGATTATTTTGTATCGTATACTTGATACTTTATGTGATTTTTTGTACTATTTTATACTTAATGTGGTTATTTTGTATCGTATACTTGATACTTTAAGCATTAATAATGAATATCGCGCGCGGATCCGCCATATATTTGCGAAGAAACGAATTCTTCCCCTCGTAGTTCTAGCAAGGAACAAAATAGAAAGTCTCCGACCTTATCTTCCCTAAATTGCCGCTCTTGATTGGACGATGTAACGTGGCATATAACAAAAGCACGAAGTAGAACGTTAGCGATAAAACGAGAGGAAACGGAAAGAGCGCATCTTTTTTGCGCTAGTCCCCGGATGTCTATAGCTCGCCATAAATCCACGACGAAGGAGGAATGGGGGGGAGAAAGGGACGAGGTAAGATGTTTCAAAATTCCTCGTCCGTGAAAGCGCGCGCTTCGAAAGTGCTTCGACTATAGCTCGGTCCGGGAAACGTAACATTCCCGCATCCCAGTACCGTCTAAATATTCATCAGTCAGGTAAATCCGCCTTTCACGAGCTCGTTAAAACTTCAACGTGCGAAGATAGTCACTCACTTAAACGCCGTTAAATATTAAGCAACCTCAATGTTAATCTGAAAACGACACGATTTACAATCCCAATGTTTGTAATAATTTGTAAAAATTTCTGATAATTTAATGCGTTTAATCAACGGATCTCAAATATGATGAGACCCGCTGCGAGATGATTGAATAAATTTCCTCACTTCGAAGATATGAGAAGTTCCCTGCCTCGGGTCCACTGTTATTTAGTTATTCATAACTGCCTAATATTTCGCAGTTCGTTAAAACTTTATCGGCTGTAAAAAGTTTCGTTTTTTTTTTGGCGCCGTAAAATAATGGATAGTTGAAAGTGACAGCATGTCAATATGTGTGACTTCGAGGCATAAATACTTGCTGTACGATAACGTGATATATATGAAACTGTTAAAGTCGCTTTTAATTTCTGTCACTTAAATTTTTGGGAGATATATTGTATATAGTATTCAAAATATATCTTATCATTTTATCGCACAAGTGAGCACAGCTGCGTATTCATTTATAATTAGACTCACACGTGCTCTTTCGCTGCTTTCTAATAAAAGTTTGAAATTTGTTGAATTAAATTATTCAACTTAGTGTAAAATAAGAAGATCTGCCTTCCGTCTTACAAATCTATTATACATTTATTATAAATGTTTAAATAATACTATAAAACTTAACTTAAAGTAAATTATGTTCCTTTATCATTTTTAGATTTTACAAATTTGTCAAATTGTTGACAGAAAACAGAGACTCTCGAACTGTCTTTTGTGTAAATAATTTAGGAAACAAAGAAAGATTTTGAATTTTTCAATAATAAAAACATATGTAACAGAACTATTCTTTCAGTGATATTTGAAAATTCGTATAATGAGCTATCTACATTGGCATTGCGTTCATGACTGCAACGAAGTCAAGGAATTTCGCATATCGTTATCGCATATCGTTATCGTTAGAATGAAGGACGAACCGTTTCGTTTTTTCAGAATTTTTTCCCGCTTTATGTACTCTACGTATCATTGTACGATACAATAAATTTTCAAATATAACACTTACATGTAGTTACTGTTATCTATAGAATTAATTTTGTAAACTGGACTACCTGTGTGCAATCTCCCTATTTTCCATTTTATACATTTCTTGGATATAATATTCTAAATGCCTCCATGTAAAAGATACTCTAGATGACCTTTGTTATAACTTTTTATTATCAAAAATATTTACGCCCTTTTATTCCAGATCTTGTTTACATAATTAATTTAATGTAATTAATACTAATTAAATATATTAATTTTTTAAATTTAATAAATTATATCTAAATGTGTAGAGATAAATAATATTTTTATTTATTTAACTGTGTATCTTAATAGTTTTTGTAACATTTTCTTTTATTTCTAATCGTTATTTTTGCACTGAAAATGTCGACATTAATTCGATCAAAAAAAACATCGAAATTAAAATGTTTGGTTTTAGAGTGTATATAAGCGAAAGACGTATGCAAGTAGCTGCAATTACTCGATTTGTTCCGCAAGTAAAGTTTACCATTTTTTTAATTTTACGTTTTATAGAGTGTTAGCTCTCTCGTGCACGGTACGCTCGTTAACGCGTCGGAGATTTATCTTCTGCCTCCCTTTCATCGTCCTTTAGCTGTTTATCGATCCTCTTCTTGCCGCCGCTCTATTCGTCACGATCGTTACGAGGGAGTAATTAGCGAGCTCAAAGTTGGCAGCACCTCTATCCGAGTATGTCCGAGAAGTCTCTTTCAGAAATACGGAAAAGTAGGATTACGCCGAGAATCTTGCAACTTTATCAAAGATTTGTGTCCCTTAGTGAAGCCAAGGGAGAAGATCCATCGTTTGGAAATTTACACTATTTAATCTGCCGAATGCATTTAGATGGTAGCATTTCTCTAAATTTCGTTTCTATATGTCTTTCATAAAGTTCTATTTAATCGATAAAAGCACATATTTTATATCAATGGGACGTTAAATTATTCAACTGTCACATTAATAATTGAATAATTCTCTCTCTCCAGAATTAAAATAAGAAAGAGAGAGAGAAAGAGAGAGAGAGAGAGAGAGAGAAAATCAGTCAGAATACGATTAAAGTTAACTGATGTTGATGAAGTCAGAGGAATGAACCGAGCAAATGTAACCGCATGTAACGAATTCCGTGCACGCGGCGGAAAACTCGAGTCGACAGTGCAACTTAGGAAGTAGTCTAGGAACAATCGGTTGGAAGTGAATTGTTAAAGTCGCGATGTCTTTTTAGCGACATTTCTTCGCGAATTTTGTTAATGCTATAAAACTAGTTTTAAAAATTCCTCCATGCACAAAACTAAAAAACTTATATTGTGTTCTATATATGTTGAATTCTTTACAAATTAAATTAATAAACTTCTTTTTCCCATACCTTTCTTTAGCTAGCAAACAATGAGTTGTTTTACAACCCATTTCTTTTATAACAAATATTTTGTTATTTTTACGTTCAAATAACTCATACATGAAAATAACTCATTTTCACGTAAATATTGATCAAATTTTCTGATATACAATGGTAAAAAGCTTTTTCTTTCCGAGGAATCGATTATTTATTATAATATCATACAAAGAGCATTTTTTCGAATGATTAACTCATATTTTACTCAATTCATCTTTCATCAACAATATATTCATATAGAATAACATATATAATCTATTATTTTTTATAAAATATGAGGATTAATTAAAATCACGAAAAAAACCAATTATTAAAGCATTTCATTAATCTAAAACTAGTAAAGCTTTTTTTCACATTGTTTGAAACATGATATTAAAATATAATTTCTCTAAAAAATTAATATAAAACCTATGAAAATTTTTCCACGTTGTTGGGAAAATTTAAAAATAAGCCGATAAATCCTAAATTTTTTTCACAGTTTAAGATAAATATTCGGAGAGAGATTCGGAAAACACATTTATCGTATGTTGCAAAATTGCTTCCCTTTATAACAAAAAAGATTAAAGAAAAATACGATGAGAGAGGATCCGCAATGATGAAGTCCGGCACGACTGAGAAGTTGCTGTGAAGAAATATCTCTTTTCTGTTTTACAGGACTGTTTAAACTGCAAGATCTTGTGAAATCCCCACCGTCCGTAAGAACTGAAATGTACATTCGTCAAGCAGGTCCTAGATCCTACCGGCAAGTCCTGCGGGAAGTCAGACACAAAGAGATCTTCAAACTGATCATCGACACGGACCCAGCGCACATGCAGCAATTTTTTCGAGCGGTGAGTCCTAAGTGATTTAATAATCAATAATGTATCAAAAATGTATCATGAAAGCTGAGCATTTAAAATATTTACTTTAAAATTTCATCTTAAACAAGTCAGAAAAAAGTTTCTCTATCTTTTGCTTTCCGTACATGTCAATCGTGTTTTTCTATCATTACGTTACAAATACTGTTATACTTCGGAAAGCAGAGTAGGGATGAAATACGTATACATGTATCTTATATTTTCCACATCGCTTAATTTATCGCATGATAAATCTGACAAGTTGTTTTATCCAGATGAATACACATTTTTTCAATAAAACGAAACATTATAAGAGAGATACATAGTGAAAAAGAGAGAGAAAAAAATTGCGCAAATATAGATCATTGAAATTTATTGACGTTGTTATTAAAGGATTTGATCTGATATTTGTTATTTGATATTGATCTTGTGTATGTTGAAATAAATATTAGTTATATTGAAATATATATCATATCTCTGCTATTAATAGATTCTGCTATTACAGCTAAAAATATTAGTTTTATAAATATTTTACAAGTTTTAGTTTTTGCATTTTTAACATTAATTTTGCTTTCTTTTTCTTCTTACAAAATTTGAACATAATATTTATTTTATTCACAAATACAAAAGACTAATAGATGTAATGTGTGCTAATAAAACGTAATTTCAAATTTGCTGTGTGTGTATGTATATATATATATGTGTGTGTGTGTGTGTGTGTGTGTGTGTGTGTGTGTGTGTATGCGAAAGGAAAAATATTAAACTTTTACCGGTGAAAACTCCAATGCGTTTTTTGCCAACCGCTGGCACTTATGGAAAATCGGAGAAAACGCGCGTGGGAAACTATCGATCGATGCAGCCAACGAACGCGAAGGATGCAACACAGAGTTTCGACTCTCACTCATGGATTATATAAATGATCGTTCTCTGTCAGCTGCGAGACACTTAATCTTAATATCCATCCAAGATATCTGTTAGATTGCATCGAAAGCGATGCGCTTAGGTAAAGCAGTAGCTCCTGGCGATCATGCAGACAGAGCACAATAATGGAACAACAAGTTGTTTACCGGATGTAAAATGAAAAAAGGAAATAAGCGAGTAACACAGGAGCAAAGAGATCTGCACGCGGGACACACCGCGACTCATAAATAACTTTTCAGAATCATGCACGGATACTCGGCGTGCACAGAGATTTAAAGGACTGTTACAATTAGGATTAATGGCGACTGCGTTGCAGTTTTTCCTTCCGACGCTTGTTTTGCCTTCTAGTGTGTGACTAGTTCCCGCTACCTTGAAAAGAGAGAACGAAAGCAAAGGAACGGGACTGACATCGCGCGAAAAAAAAATTGTCCCGGATTATAAAATTTTTCAAAGTGCGGCCAACACGCAAAGAGAAGCAGATTTAAATCTCGAGGATGCACGATAATTGAATTATCTGTAGAATACTCACTTTTAAAGAGCTCTTAAGAATAAATACAAATATGATAAATACTTGCAATGATAATACATGAATACTTACATGATAATTAAAGGTAAAGAATATCAATTTGGAGAATATTAATGGATCTGAAATAAATAAATAAATAAATATATATATATATATATATATTTATTTATTTATTTATTTATTTATTATGAAAGATATTATGACAATGTTGAACTATAAATTATTGTAAAATCATGAGGTATAACGGCTCGAAAATATTTAATCATATATTTGTGTACAAGCCACGACGCAAATCAGCAGATCGTGAAATTAAATCATGAAAATTGTCAGCGGTAACGAAACAAATGTTGAAAATAGCTCATGCAAATCAGAATCGCGTTCGTGCGAAATAATAAAGCTTCCGATGTTTTTCGCAATTCCCGACACTTTCCCGAATGTTGTTGCGTGTACAGCCGACAAATAGAAAAATTTACATAATCGGACGTGATCAACTTGCCGGAAATGTACGCCTCGATTATTCACCATTGAAACATCCATAACGCATTTTTCAATTTTGTCGATAATATCGTTTAAAACGGTCAAATTTACTCATTATGACAGAGAATATACGCCTCGATACCTCGAGAAACCGCGACCTTTCATAATTTATGGACGTAACAAACATAGGCACGGTAACACATAAATAATTCAGTGTTTAATTTACAATATAATAAATTGTACTACATATAATACAAAATAACCTACATATATACTACATATAATACAAAATAAATTTACGTCTATGTCGGGCATAATGTAATGTTTATGCAATACAATTATATGTGGCTTTCCAATAAACATTCTTAATGTGAATTGTTAGAAACGAATTAAATGTATGCAGTGATTAATTAATGCATGCAATTAGAGCAAATTACTATAATAATTAGAGCAAATTAGAGAAGCGTTCTTCGATATAAAATTACACTGTTAAACAAAGGATCCTGAAATGAGAGTCAGAGCGCAATTGTAGACGAAAGTAAAACAATTGTACATTACAGAGAAGTAATCAAGTTTGGGGAGACGTGGGAAACTTCGTTCACAATCTTAAGGATTAAGACCGTAAATACATCGGAAGCAAGAGGGATTAGATTTCGTTCGCGTTTTCCGCGTTTTGTTGGTGCTCCGAAAAGCAATCTTGCTTTAGACGCAGCAAACCCGTTATTTGCATGTTGCGTCCCTAGTGGATTTCTAAGGATAACCCTCGACCGGTCGAGTAATCAAAAAACGTCTGCGCTTTCATGCAACGATTCTCCTATATCCTTTTAACCTTGCACGCCCGTCTCGCCCGCATCTCGCCTCGAAGAGATTTTTCCATGGAAAGATCCGCGCAAGACGTCTTTCATCTGAAGAAGATGCATCCGCGATCGATCCATATGTCTATATGGCCATGGCCTTACCGCGAGAAATGAAAAACGACGAATTATATCGGACTACAAAGGACGCAATATCAATATCTTTGGCAGCGAAATAACGCGATGCACAGCGAAATATGTCACATATAATTTTGTAAATATTTGTTTTGCAAAACAATAGAGAATCCGCACAAATCCACGTGTACATATCTATTTATGAAATGAAAACTAACATAAAATTGTATACTTATTGACAAATGGACATGGATAGTAAAATACGTTAGAAAAAGTCATTTTAATAGTATTGCATAATACATATTGAGTCTTCTTGACTTCTCTTTCTCTTTTTCTTTTTCATTCGAGAATAAGATCGTAAGATATCTTTGATATGTAATCTCCTTTTTCTGTGTTACAGATATTGCAGTTACAAATGAACGACTACAGATACCACTACATGTTCACAACCTTTGTAAGTACATACATCTTCATATTCAGCTCTAATTAAAGGCGAAAGAAGAGTATTTGAGATTCTCAAATATTAAAAATGTGCAGATTAAGCTTGTAATATTTTTAGCTTGTAATAATTTAACTTTTAATTATGAGTATTAAGATTATTCTATTTCTTGTGACACAATGTAAAGACTTCATTGTTTACTCGTTGAAATTCTGATTTATAATAGGAATATATATATGAGATATATATATGATATATATATGAATATATATATGATAAAATATATATGAGACTGTTAATATATTTAGTGAATCGATAGATGAATCTAATTCTCGGTTCAAAATCCAATCTAGTTAATATTTAGAAATCTAATTAATGTAATTGCAATGAACACTAAATTAATGAATTTGGAGTATTTACTGGATATTTCTCTAATTAAGCGTATTATGTATAAGGTCATTAACAATTTATTGAATATGAAGGTCATAGTGGCGAACATGAACAAAGATACATTCCATTCAGCATTCATCGAGCACGCGTAATATTGTTTAATAAATAAGAGAGGGTGCCTCCCTTCCAAATGAATACAAGTTTCTGACGAAACTATACTCTACGTTCAATATATTATTCATCATCTTCATAGCCGATATACCCTCACTCTCGATGACTTTTTGTCTCTTTGTACACTATAATATGCGGCTTATTATGTGTATAACTCACGTTGAGATCTTAGAGAACGAACATTGATAGAGAAATTAGAAATCTTGGAGTGTATCAAGAGTCTATCCTTATATACATGTCCAGAAAGTTTGCTCGTGTCTCAGCTCTCGTCCGGTACACTAGTCTTCTTTAATATATGCGTCTTTTGAGTCACGTGACTCGAATTCCAATCTGCCGTCCCAATCCGAAATTTCTGTTTTAGTGGAGCTAACGACGCATACAAACCTCATGACTCTAGCTTAGCCAAAGTTAGGACGCGCAAACATGCTATACTTCTACAAGCCGTATATGTACGGTTGACAGGTTGGACAGAGACGTATTCAACTATGTGTTCTTGCGTAGTGGATACATACATATGCGTGCTGTACATGCATAATCGTATACGAGAGCGCACGACGCATATTTCCCCCTCAAATGTATGTCCCTCGAATTTTGCGGCGACAAACTCGCCTGGAATCGAATCGCTGCATGTGCTCGTTCTTGTAAATATGTTCTGATTAATTGACGGCAGATATTAATGCCTCGGGTTGTGGCGCATCTTGAAATAATTTCCAACGAATTTAATTCTATTAATTCATTTATAATTTCAGAAAGTGAGAAAAATAATTTGAATTAACAATGTGATATTTCTGATACTATTGTTATATTCTAATATATTTAGATCAACAAGCTAACAAGCTGTTGTAATTGTATGGAGTAATATGGAGATCCATATCGCGCACGCAGATGTAGCGTCGATCAAATATTGACTGTATTATATTCCAGTTAATTAAATAACAGTGCAGACATGATACATACGCGGAACAATGTGACAGCTAGAAGCAATAAAATTATTTATAGAATTAGAGAAAGCATATTATATAATATCTTATATTATTATTAATACATATATTATTATTAAAATGGTTTCATATTATTAAAAATTTAATAAACTATTAAAAACAAATACTATGATTTATTGTTGAATTTTAAACAAATTATGTAATAAAAATGCTAATAATGATCCAAGATTATAGTTAGCAAACGATTAGTCTAGGTAAAATAATTTTCTGTAGTAATCTTCATGTACGTATTCTTACAATTTTATGTTGATTTTAAGTTAAAAGAATCTCCGCATGTAATGTCTTAAAAAAAGACCCCACTAGACGATTCGTCTAGAAAAAACATTCAAGCGTTCTGAATAAATCATTTCCACAAAGAACGTTACGCAACTTTCTCCCAGCGCGGTTACATCACGATTTGAAAAGGTAGACAGGGGATTTAAAACGAACTTTGAGAGAAGAGAGCAATGTACATATAAAAGTGGTAGCGAAAGAAGAAATCGCTAGGAATGCGCGCGTGGTTTTACCTATTTCACGACCAACTTTGCTATGCAGCTGCGCAGGTGAACGACCTCGCGGCAGAAAAACCGCGTTATTTACTTTAACGATCTGCGTCGCGGGCCCACGATGCGTCACCGTATAATTATAAATCATATTCGCTCTCGAGCTTCTGAACCGAGGACCAAAGGAGGCGAATGGCATTGGTTACGCTATAACGATCGCAATCACAATGACGACCACTAATTGCTGACACTATTACATTTTCCTTCAATTTAACCATCTTCCTGCTGCTATTTCACGAATGAGAAAAAAGAATTTAGTCTGGTTACATTTTCTTAAATATCCTTGGCTAGCATATCCTCGAGGGAGTCAAATTTTTTATTTTTAAAACTGTTCATAGTTAAATCCATAGTTCTATTTGCCAAAAAAGGATTTAAATCGAATAGCAACATTAAAACTTGATATCATATTGTTAACAATATAATGAGAAATTAATTGATTTAAGCATGAAAAAATCAAACTATAAAATATTTCAAAATTAGGTAAATTGCAAATACAAACTGGATCTGAAATGAAATATAAAGGAATCTTTTTTCTGTTAATTTTTTTATAGGATATAGAAACGTTCGATCTAGAAGACTTCAAATATAACAGCGTGAACATGACGGCCTTTCGCTTGGTGGATCTCGAGGAACCCAAGGTTGCCGAAGTACTCAAGCAGATGGAACGTTTCCAACCAGCTATTGGTCATGCCATCTTGAATAAAACCGGAGTCATTCAGGTTGGTGAAAATTTCAATTTTATATTCTATGCAACAAAAGAGATTAAATTCTTTTTTCCTTTACCTGATAACAAACGTAGCGCTGCAAAGACTAAAATTTTAGAGATAAAATTCACTCTGTGAACTTTGCGGACCATATTGAACGTCACACGACAAGTCTAATTCTAAGGACACGATTGCTCTCAAGCATGTGTGCGTAGTAGAATAGATAGAAAACTGTATAAAAAAAATTATAACGCGACATCCACGTAAACTTTATACGTATAAAATATTTCAGAAAGTTTTTTCATGAATGAAAACTTTTTTTTAGTTCTTTTCTAAATTTTATGATAGTACTAACTTATCAAAAATTTGTGATATCAAATTCCATATCTTTCAATTTACATTTTGATGACGAAAAAATATTAAAGAAATCGAAAATCAGAAAATTTTCCATTATAAAATTTGTTACACACAAGATAAAAAATACAATCAACGTTACATACGTAACATTATTTGTTATCACAATATTTCATATTTCATATTTCATTTTTAAATTTCATCATACAGTGAATTTCAAGCTACAAAATGGCATTGCTTCGTATTCGAATGATGGTAAAAGCTACGAGCAAATGTAGACGAGAGACTAAAAGCAGAGGGGCTGAAAAGTCGGATGGACCGAACCGGTCAGCAGAGTCTGTGTGTCTAGTTCGAGCTTTGTCAGCCCTTCAGTAATTAAGTGAGTTTCGCCCGCGGCCAGTGTGCCGCAATGTCATTAACTCGGATCAATTGAGCACACCAAGCACGGCTTTCTCGCAAGGACTTCGAAGATGGTCGCCATCTGCTGAAAACGCTAAATGGACTCTTTTAATTTATTAGAATTTTTCAAAATATTAATACAAAAAATCAATAAAATTTAAAGTTTAAATTAATAATCTTTTCTAACTTTTCTTTCTCTCTCTTTCTCCTATTTTCTCTAAAATTATTTTAAAATCTTATAAAGTGTTAAATTCGAATATTTATAAAAGAAAGAAAAAGAAAGATACCTTCATAACTTCAAAGAGATTATAAAGTTAAAAATGCATCAACTTATAATTTAAAATTTTTAAAAACAAATTCATATAATTGAAGCTTTGTAAGTAAAATCAATATAATACATTCAATATAATATGTTTAATATTGCATTTTAAAAAAGATTTTTGACGGTAAATTGAAACACAGAAGAAACTCTTGCCACACAAGCGATAACAAGTATGAATAATAATTATATTCAAGAGACCCGTTAAACTGCGAACAGAATTGAAAATGAGTCTCGTTAAAATTTAATCGTAATCAAACTCGACCTATATTTGCACCTTGCAGCCAAAACTTTGTCAACATAATAGTTCTTCTGAAGCTAAAGCCTTGCACGCGAATGCACAAAGTACGAACTCTTGTCAAAAGGAAACGTATGTTTCAGGCAGAACCAGCTTTGGTGTATGATAGCGTGCAGGTTTTCGCACACGGTTTGGCAGCTCTGGACCGCAGTCATGATTTAAGGCCAGCAAATCTGTCCTGCGAGAAGGAGGAACCTTGGGACGATGGTTTATCACTCTACAACTACATTAATGCCGTACGTACGTTCTGTGAATCTTTAAGCGAGCTGTTGGGCGAAATAGTGCAAATTGGCAATAATGCGAGTTCTTAATGCGATTATGTATATTTCGGCATAACATGTCAGCTTCTCCTCTTTAAATAAACATGAGAAGCTGTATTAGGGTAAATTTGTGCGTGTATGTGCATGAGAGAGAAAGAGAGAGAGCGAGAGAGGAGAAAAGAGAGAAAAGATCCTAAAATTTAAATACATTTATATGTAAATCTTTTTATTTTTCAAAAAAAAAAAAAAGAAAAAATTTTATATTTTATATCTTTATATATATATCTCTCTCTTCTCTCTCTCTCTCTCCCCCTCCCTCTCTCTTTATATATTATATTTTTATTTTTAATAAATGATTTTTATATTTCATATTTGCTTAATGGTCAAAATATTTCTCTTTCTTATCAAAGAGGTTGTTTGTATATTATATAAAAGAAAAAATATATTAGAATTTTATATGAACAAAAATTTTTATTAACAAATGTGCTGAAAATTTCAAAAGCGTGAAGCATAAATTTTATAATATTAGATTACAATATTCACGAGATACATTTATAATATATTTTTTTAATATTATTAATCCGTAAATAAAGCAAACTTTGGCAACATATATGAATACAGTTTTGAAGCGTTTTTCGAAAGATAAATTCAGAAAATATAATATCGAATTTAATATCCAATTTCAATATATAAAAAATGATACTAGTAAATATTCTCTGTAAAAAAATTGAAATTTTTTATTAAAAATATTGATATAATTGTAACATTAAAATATACACTATCAAAAAAAAACTTTATTTTATCAAAATTTTATCAGAGAGAATTTTATTAAATCAACTAGTAAATTTGCACGGTTGCCTAAAATAATTAAACGAAAAAAATATATCTTATTGTTTTCAAACACTTAATGTTATCACAGGGAAGTAATGTTTACACAGGGAAGAGATATTTATCTCCCTCAAAGTATAAAAAAAATAAGAATAAATCATTTTATCCTATGATAATTTTCATTAAGAACACGCAATCTAAAAGAATAAAAAAACTAATGCAATTTAAAATAGAATAAAAAAACTAACAATTCTCAGAAAGATAGATAAAGAATATATATTAATATTTATATATGTATATAATTTAATATTCATTAATTGTAATTTATTAATTTGATTTATTAATATTCTTTTATAAAATTTTACAGTCCTGTAACATTTATATGTAATTCATAGTAAAAAATGCGATACTATAAAGTATTTTAATATCATAACTCTATTCTTCAAGAATTTCGTTCCTCCAATCATTTTCAAATTGTTCGAGTAAACATAGTAACTTTAGAATAGTTTGATATAGGGATTATTAACTTATCTTTTTCAAAATACTTTTTCACAATTTTGTTAAGTTTACAAAATTAAAAATCTTTTGTTTCGTATGCGTATCTAAATGACAAAAATTTGTCTATTATAATATGTATATATATTATTCTAAATGAAATGACAACATGGGGCAAAACATGCGGCGAGACTCCATATCTGACATCATGGTCAAGTTAAAATTCTGAGAGTGTCGTGGAAAAAACGGTAAAAAACCGCGATCATCTTGGCGAGCGAGTCAAGCGCGATCTTTGTTGCTTCGCACAGATTGGTAGTCGTTCGACGATAAGCCGCAGCCGGATGGGTAGCAACGGAAGGAAAGCAACGTTGACACATGAATAATTGAACAACGTATTTAGCAAATAGCTACAACGTCGAGAGCTACCCTCCTTTCGCGGAACGGGGGGGAAAGGGGTGGTAGGGAAGGTCTTCTCCTCCTTTAGCTGTCGCGCTTTCTGTCGCGCGGCGACCATCTCGAATGCACGACCGCATCGTCATACGAGAGACACGTACGTAAACTCGCTTGTACGTGCCGTTCATGAATAGATCCCAGTAGCTTTATTACCCGAGTGCAACTGAAATTGGACCTCCCTATTAGTCATCACGACGATGACGAATTAAACGGTGCTTAAATTTATATACCGTCGTTGCCCATAAACCGAGAATATTTCGAATTTTTCGGGATTTACTATCTAGTGTTCTATTAAAGCGTTTTATTTTATTTGCCTAATTTTTTAAACTACAATTTTATAACAAGAGATTTTTTTTAAATCTAAGGACTTTTGCGCCAAGTTAAAAGAAATATTTTGTGCGAATATTTTGATTGAAAAGGGAAAGAGTGCAAAAAGAATGATTTAAAGCTACTTTTTATAATATATTTTGGAAAAAAATAGCTAGAGATTATTTACTAAGCTTAAATACAGAGAAATTAAAACACCGATTTCTTCCCTTTTTATTTCACATTGATTTAAAAAAAAGTTAACAAAAAGTATAGCAATTGTAACAAATTGTATCAATGTAAATAATCTTCTCTAAGATATAATGTTAGATTATTCTCAACAAGAGAAATGGTATCATATAAAACTCAATATGAAAATCTTTCCCTTAGAGATGTTAAGGTTTCAATTATATTAAAAACTATCATAAAAACTTGTTATTGAAAAATTTTTCATTGCATGGAATTTGTGTAATTAATAAAATCAATATAATAATTTGCTATATTAAGAAATTATTACTAAATACTTGCACCGCAATATCTACCTATGTAATAATGTATTTCATGTAAACAATATTATCTAGAGTGCAGAGTACACACCACGCAATGACATTTTGACGAGTAGATGCAATAAACTCCGAAAGCATTTTCATTAGCGATTATTACCAGACAGCATTCAATTTCATCACGCAGAGATATTAATTAAATCAATGTCAATTTTATTCATATTTATCATCGTTTTCAACGAAATATGTTAAAAATAGGCCATTTTTTATTCAACGGCAGAATCTAAATTAATCATTAGAAATTATGAATGTTGAAATCTTCTACTATGGAAAATACCTAACAATTATTTATCCATTATATCCAATGGAAAATCAAGATTTATTATTTGATTAATTGTTGAAATAATTATATAAAGTGTTTTCTTATAAGCCTTGTACTCTCGTGGTATATCTTTAAAGTAAAATCAATTGCAATTATTTATATTTCGTAAAGTGAGTAATAATACGTAGTTAATAAATGTAGCTAACAATTGTTTTTTTTTTATTTATACAATGTTTGTATGTTGTACGTAAAGAGGGATTCGAAAGAAAAATATTTGCTATTTACATTTTTTGTCCTTATCTGACAAGTTCTTTGCTTGAAGTACTTTGAGAAGTAAAAGGAAAAAAGAAAAAAGTGAGAGAGAGGTGATCAAGGACAGAGTTGTCAGATGGAGGACGCGACTTGTATAATATATATATTGCCGCGCTCGCGCGTCAATGAAAAACACATATTTAAAAATGATTTAACTGGCAACATTTAATTTAGTCGATACAAATAATGCAATATTCTCTTTGCTTTACGATGTCACATGTCAATCCGAATCGTCAACTCATGTGCGACTCTTTTATCAACTGTTGTTTTAATTGACGATTTATGAGGAAGGAGGAATCACTGTTTTTCTATCGTTGCCTAATCGATATTTTCATCAAAATTCTATAACTTTTATCGGAAACATTTGTTTCTGAAACCTTGTGATTTACACATTTATTTGTTAAAATAAAATAGAACACCTGTATATTATATGAATAAAAAAATCATATTCTCTCTACATTTACTACACTACTCTTTAAATACATAAATGTGCAATTAATTTTATTTTAAAGATATATTAAGGAAAACACTTCATGTAATTAATTTTCAGCAATCATTAATAAATTTCGATTTTCATAATTTCCTTTAGATCTGCTGGATAAATAATTTCTTTATTTTCTTATTTTCTGTTTCGGAAAGATTCCATAAGCAATTTTCAATTTTCAATGCTTAATTTAAATTTCACCATTAAACCATTAAAAATAAGCTACTTAATAAAATTAAAATAGATTATTTTTAATATTTTTCTTTCTTTTCTAATAAAATATTATCTCTCGCAAAAAGCATCTCAAATATATTAAATTCAGCGATATATTAAACTCAGCATTGGGAATTTTAACGTGAAAAAGAATTTACAAATGTCGAAAAGCGGAAATGTAACTACGTAGATACATACACGTTGTAGCTCTCACAGAAACTGATAAGTTTACACAATGATAACTTCCCGCGAATTATTCTTGCAACGTTCCCTACCACGCGGTATTATAAAGTTTTCCTTTTTTCGCGAAGAAAATTGAGAGCGCATAGAAAAGTTTGGGTCGACTCGCTGGAATAATCGAAGATGTGAAGAAAAAGAGGTGGAAGAGAGAGAAGATGGTGAGTCGTGACAATTTTTTGAAACTTGCTCGTCACAAGACTTTTCATTTTAACAGTATATCGTCGTTGATCATCGCTATACGACGGAGATGTAATATGTGGTACATAAGAGCCATCGCGTTTCTCGGACGTCGTTTTTGTCTCGCGGGACAATCTTTTTATTATCTGAACGCGCTGCATCCCGTTTAAATCGCGGAACGTTATCGGGCAATAGAAAAATGCCTGTAGCCTCGAATGAAGGAAAAGAAAAAGAGAGAGAAAGAGAGAGAGAGAGAAAGAATGAGAAAAGTTTGCCACAGAAATTATAAAAGTTCCCGATAAGTCTGCTCGCTCCATTCCTTTCACGTAGCATCCACTCGTTCGTAAATATCAACGCTCTTTCTCGTCTCATGATACTTTTTGAAACGTCACTGCACCCAGCGTATCTATCGATTTTATTGATGTTTCTTTCATGTTAAATCCGAAATAAATAACACACCACAAAAGAAGAGATATACATATACATGTAATATCGTGTGCGAGTTAAATATCGGAGTTACATTTCGCGTACGCGGTTAGATTCCGCGAGACGACAAATTGGCAGTTTCGACGTGACTGTATTTTATTAATAATAATGAGAATAATCATGTCCTTGTCATGTCATCTCTCTTAAATCATAATGA